CACTAATTGCCATAGAAACGTTTACGAAAAATAAAAAGCCAAGCTGCATACGTATTGTACAATATGTCGGGCGAATATATGACATTTTGTCCTCATTGCGAGGTTTTACTTCCTGGAAGAACATATAGAAATCATAGACAAGCTTACTATGATGCAGTTAACAAACGTTGGGAGAAGAATGCTAGTTTACTAGACAGTAGTAGCAGCAATGAAGATGAGATTGGAGGTGTTGCTGGTGTTGATTCGGATGGTGATGTAGTTGATGGAAATGATAGAATTGGTCATAACAATGAATCAGGTGGAGAAGGAAACGAGACATGGGAAAATATGTATCATGAAGTGTGGGATGATGGGCGTACAGATGATGTTGACGAGGATTTCATTGAGAATATTCAAAATCCTCCGTTTGTTCCTGCTCAAAGCGATGATGATGATAATTCGGAAAGTACCAGGCAAAAATCCATCATCCGTTCTATTGCAATAGTGCTTGTTTTTTTCTGGACTAACTTTAATATTTCTGATCGAGCTATGGAGTTCCTTTTGCAATTTTTATCGAGAATTTTATATGTTTTTTCATTGACTAATCATTGGATGGCAAATCTCTTTGACTTGTTTCCGGGATCACTATACTTACTTCGGAAGGAAATGAACCTTTTGAATGATGGTTTCGTTAAATACGTTGTTTGTCCAAAATGTGACTCACTTTACTCTTTTGAAGATTGCTTTCATAATGTTGGAAATCGAAATGTTCCTAACACCTGTGGCTTCATCAAATTTCCTAATCATCCCCAGAGGTGGAGACGAACGAAATGCGGTGCACATCTTTTGAAGGAAGTTACCCTTAGTGACGGCAAAAAACGGTTGTATCCCCACAAAGTGTACTGTTACAAGAGTATAATAAACTCTTTGAAAGATCTTGTTAAGAGAACTCATTTTGTAGAGAAATGCGAATTGTGGCGGACGAGAGGAGACATTCGTACGATCCATCAGCTTATGTGTGACGTTTTCGAAGGACGCGTCTGGAGTGATTTTCAAATTGTTAATGATCGGCCATTTCTTTCTGAACCTCGAAACTATGCACTTATGTTAAATGTCGATTGGATGCAGCCATTTAAACGTACGCAGTATTCAATCGGTGTCTTATACATGGTATTGATGAATCTTCCTCGGCATGAGCGCTTCAAGAGAGAAAATGTTATTCTCGTTGGGATTATTCCTGGCCCAAAAGAACCTTCCGGAAATATCAACTCCTACCTCTCCCCTCTTGTCGATGAGTTGGTAACGCTATGGAACGATGGTATTTCAATTAAACATCCTGGAGCACTGTTCCCTCAACTATTTTGAGCTGCTCTTCTTTGTGTAGCTTGTGACGTTCCAGCTGGTAGAAAAACCTGTGGGTTCTTGAGCCATAACTCAAGAAAGGGCTGTCATAGGTGTACTAAGCAGTTTGTTATTGGCGGTGTTGGTGAACCAAGTGATTATTCGGGTTTTGATGCTTGCGACCTTAGAACTAATACGACTCACCGTGCGCAAGTTGAACAAGTTTGCCAACAGACCACACAAGAAGAGAGAGCTAAAGCAGAAAGTGAACACGGTGTCCGTTTTTCTGAACTTTTGCGATTGCCATATTTCGACTGCGTCCGCTTCACCATAATTGACCGAATGCATAACCTTTTTCTTGGTACTGCCAAACGGATCATAGAGCTGTGGCTTGATAACGGATTGTTAAATAGCAATAACTTAAAACATGTGCAAGAGATGGTAGACAAGTGTGAAACTCCTTCCGATCTCGGTCGTTTGCCAAGGAAAATTGAGAAATCTTTTGGAGGTTTCACCGCTGAACAATGGAAAACGTGGGTGCTGGTTTTTTCACTGTTTTCTCTGTTTGGTCAACTTTCGATGGAGCATTATTTGTGTTGGCTGTCATTTGTTGAAGCATGTGCAATCTTGTATAGGCCATTGATAAAAATAAATGACGTTGATAAAGCTCATTCTGCCCTTTTGAAGTTTTGCCGTGAATTCGAACGCCTTTACAAACCAGGAAACGTCACTCCAAATATGCACCTTCATACACATCTCGCTGAATGCACCCTCGACTACGGACCTGTCTACTCCTTTTGGTTGTTCAGTTTTGAAAGATATAACGGTGTTTTGGGTGAATTCCAAACAAATAACAAGTCAGTGGAAATCCAAATTATGCGAAAATTTCTACGTGATCAAAGTGTTTACGCGCTAGACATTCCAGCTGATTATAGAAACCATTTCCAACAACTTTTAGACAATTTTCAAACTGCTTCTTGTTGCTTCGTCGCTGACAACGCACGAATTATTGAAGACTCTAGGCTTGGTAGAAGGTTTTGTCAACCCAGAAAACCATTTGTGGTATTCGCTTGACTGTTACCAATTTGGGACTAATCATATACCTTCTTATCTGGATGATGATGACGTTGAAGCTCTTGCTGATACTTACAAGATTTTCTTCCCCACTCTTTCCTCAGACGATGTTCCCCGTTTATTTGACAAGTACGAGTCGATTCAGTTGGCTGGAGTTAAGTATGGTTCCGGTATGTCTCGGCTAAACCGCTCTTCGTATGTTCTTGCTAGATGGGCAGGACGCTTTAATGGCGACATCGATAGAACTGGCTCTGATTTGCGACCAGCATATGTCAAGCATATGTCAAATAATCTCATTTGGTGGTTCTAGGTACTCATTCTGTTTCGCTCGTGTAGTTTGGTTCCAAGCTCATCCGAATCGATATTTACTGGGACAGTCTACTGTATCTCCTCAGTTGTGGTGTCGAAATACTTTTGAGCCTTTTGGACCATCTTCATTTCCGCCTGTCCAGAGAATTACTGACAAGTTTGTCGCTGGATACGGCGAGGTTGATTGGGAGACTGTTATGTATGTTTTGCCACTGCGAGCAATATCTCGAGTGTAAACAATGCTTTACAGGTGTCGTATTTTGACGAGTTCCAAACCGACAATTAATTGTATTAACGCAAGTACATTTGCCGTGTATTTTTAAAGCTTCAAATATTTCCGAAAACATTTTGTTCAAGTCAGTCATTACCAATATATATCGCGGAAAGAGAAAGTAGGTGAATGAGTTACGAATTGATTCATGTTTGAGGATTTGTTTAACTCCTGATCGTTGGTTACATTTTACATTTAATTACAGTAAGAGGAAATATTGACCAGAATTACCTTTTGTTTTAGAAAATACAAGAAAGCTTTATTGTGCATTACAATTAAACGCCTTAGCGTGTATAAAAATTCGTCCCTATAGCTAAAAAAATAGAGCAGATTCAATAAATGCTGTCTTGTAACTCTGAGCTCAAAAGGGGGATGGATTGTAACCTTGTAACCTGCATGCCCTATTAAGTAAAGAAGATTTGTTCTTGCGAGTCATGCAGGTATACTTACAACGTCAAATTTCTAAATACCATTGGAATCCTGAATAAGCGATAATCCATCATTCCTTTCGCGCAAAGAGTTTAATGATTTTGAAGGACAACCTTTATTGAATAAACTGTATATTAAATGTGTGAAGATGGTTCAGTTTTTCTTATCGTCAACCGGGTGATCTCCTAATTTTTTCCACGATATCAGCTGAAAGTTTATATATTATTAAAGTCCAATATTTCATAATGGTAATCACTACAGTTATTAGGGTTGAAAACCGGTTAATCTATTCTGTACTTTCATTTTTTCACAATATTAAAAGTACTCATAATGGAAAGTAGATGCGGGTATACATTGTGATCCATTCTTCACTGACTGTTCACTAATAATGATTCAAGCAGGTTACTGTGTCTCCAGTGACTCGCCTACCATTTCTGAATCATGCACTTTAGGCTGTTTCGCTTTACTATTTTCCCTGCTGTCGACAGGAAAAATAGAATATTTCGGTATCGATTTTCTTTTGTTGCGTGTTTGGTTCTATAGTTTAGTTACTTCAGTGAGATATCAGGCAAAAATTTATAACTTAGAAAATATGTATAACAGCACTTAAAGGTTTTTCAAATGCAAAACATTTTGAATAGACTTTGCTACGGCAGGCGAAACAAAGGAGTGAAAAAACCACCTTTAACGTCACCGCAACTGAATAAACAAATGTTTTAGACAGGGCACTTCTGTACGTGCACTACTACTGACGATCGAAGCCACGTGTTGTTTTCAGTATTTAGGCAATACATACAAATTTGTAGCTACTTCACAGTCTTCACTCACTACTTCAGTGTGTAGTTCTACATGCAGTATAGCATGCGTATATATTGTACATACTTTGTCCTATGTTTTGGATGTTGTAGACTTGTATATAGTGGGCAAAGGCAAATGAGTTCTGTAGTACTATATTGAAACATTCAGAACATTTGAGTAATTAAGACATCAGACACATTAGGCATGCACAAGTACCCGTTTCTATACATGTATTGCAATTTAATTTCTCTTTGCAACCAGAGAGGGATCCCTTTACATATACGTGAAGCCAGCGGAAAAGATGCATAACATTTAACAGTAATTGTATAAAGTGTGTACACTATAAAATGTGCATGTTATTATTCGATTCTACTGTTTCTACTTCATAATAAAGTGGTCAAGTTTTGTTTATTAGTTTTCTTGACAAATTATCAGGGGGCTAAGTCTCCCTTGAATAGCTTGTGGAAAAGGGGGTTCTGCCCTAAAGCATCCCTAGCCCCAGCAAATTCTACAGAGATTGTCAGAGCCTATATATATATATATATATATACAGTATATATACATGTTTGTCATCAAATGTGTCTTGGTCTAGCTATTTAAATATCTTTCTAAGTATAAGCATCTCTATGTTAACTATGTAAACTACAGTGAAACACGCAAATTTTCAATTCTCACTGAAGATTTTGCGTAATATATATATAGGGTGTGTGAGAGAGCAGTTCAAAATCAGTGTCATTATCAGCGGCAGGTGACGGTTTATGTACGGGAGGCACGTTTGCAGATTTTCCTCTATAAAAATTCATGCCATTGGTCGTGAAAGGTCCAATACCGAGAGAGGAGTCGTGTAGGATGAAATCTCATCTGAACCTATCGCTGAGTGGGTCTTAATGATTGTCAGTGATTTTTTTGGATATACAGGCAAAAATGTTCTCCATGTTTCCTCGAAGCTGGTTAGATTTGGCTGGGTCTGCTCGAATGGTTGTAACACATTAGTAGTAGGAGGAGGGTGGTATGGAGCGACATTAGGATTCAGCTGTGCGGGTGTCGATGAATTGGTTATAGGGTTCTCCTCTGGCGCAATAAAGTCGTTCCCTTGATTAGAAGCAGGATTCCCATACTGTTCTTGTTCGTCTACAGGTGGCTCTTCTTGTACCGATCGAAACTGAAGGAAATGTTCAACACGGTCATGTGTATCATCGCATGGGATCTCATCAATTGTTTCGAAGATCTCTTCTTCATCCTCATATTTCGTACAGACCTCGATTCGAGCCTCAGTTTCAGCTAGTTCTTCCCGGATTTTGAATTTCTCATTGGCAAGAAGGATTCTTTCCTTAACTCTTTGCTCTTCGTTTTGAACATCTTGTAATTTGCTCTTGATTTCGACTAAGAGCAATCGATTCGCCTCATCAATTTCTTCTTTTTCTCGTGCAACACGCATTTTCGCCTTTAGTGCGGCGGCGTTTTCTTCCAATTCCTGCCGTCTCTGTCTGGTTGAAGACGTAGTACTGCTGTTCGAGGATCGAGAGTGATGACTGCGATGTGAGGTACGACTTCCGTCGGATCTTCGAGATGTTATGGAATGATTGTCCTCTGCATCTATCTTTAATTCTCTAATTGCCTCATACACTTGTTGCACAACCTTGTTATTCTCCTTGCTCATGTCCTCAAATTTTCCGAACAAGGAAATTTTCTCAACAGGAGATTGAAGCGTTTCTTCTAGTTTCTCGTGAGCCATGGTTAGATCGTTCATACATATTTCCAAAATACGACAGTCGTTTTGCAAAGAAACAATTTCAGTGTGACTCACCAATTGTCCTTGAACGTGATTTATTTGCTTTCTCCAGGCTTTGGCCGCATCGTGAAAGATATCTTGTGGATCTCTCGTTGAAATATTGCTAGCATTTACGTCTTCCACGTTTGGATGATCGGGTTTAGTCAAAGTTCCACCCGTTTCGACATTTTTGTCCGCCATGTTTCAGTTTCGCAAGTTTCCGAAATTGTTCCGAGAGGTTACCGACACATTCCGATCGCGAGTGCATGGAATATAAATCAGCTAGGTGATTAAAATGGCGTTCGACATTCATTACGTTCAGTGTACGTTTCAATATATATTCCGACAGGATTCGTTGCCTTACACGACTAATACAGGAAAATCGTTGACTGTTACTCCCGCAAAATTAATTCTGTTCCGTTCTGATTGTAAATTTGGAGCCTTAATTTGGAGTTTCGTTGTTACTAGCACTTAATCTCGACGAACACAAACAACAACAGACGCACGCAATTTCCTTTGTGTTAGCTTGTATTCATAAGTGATGTCAACTATGTAAACATAGAATATACAAATATATTATAAAGGGTTACGTTAATGAAATTCCTACCGATTTTCTGCCTATTTCAGGTCCAAATCTCAACAATCAGCGTTCTCGTTTAGCGATAAATCGGACGCAACAAAAAAAGAAAACCAATCTTAAACGCGCGGAGCCTGGCGCTAGCAAGGCAGTAACATACATAGTTTTGGGCTGGTATGTATATACCTGGCAAGAGCCTTTGTGGCCATAACTGATCATGTTCTTTTAAATATTTGACATCACAATGATGATGAATGATTACATCGTATTTGCCATTTTGAATTTTTAATTTTTGAAACGAGGGAGCCTGGTAACTAGTTGACCTTTTAACTCTTGAGCTCCAGCTGGTGCAAATGTAGATTTTCATGCAGATTCTTATTCACAGTATTTCACTATTCTTTTAAAAAGCTAAGTATACAATTCTATTTTTGGTATTTTGTTTCACATTTTTCATGTGTTCATAACTTTTTTTATAAAAATGAAATAGGATATAATAGTTATATTTCTTATATTGTGAGTCAATCACCTTACATCTTTATCAAACTAATCACGCGAGCGAAGGCCAAAAATATTTGTGACGTAATTATTGAAAGTGTGTATTAAAGTGGGATATCAAAATTTTTCTCCAACCTCCAGCTCTTTGTGTTATCATGAGAACCGATAACATGTTACTGTGTTATCGGTGATGAAAGTCAGTCAGAAACTGTAGAAGAGGTAGTTCTTGTAGAGGGTAGCCAAGAAAGTAATGAAAATAGAAACACACAGAGTGATGAAGGGGCTCCCCAAGCTAAACAGCCAAAAGTTGGAAAACCTGTCCATTCGATTTGGAGCATTGTCTTTGACGATCCAGAACTGTAAATGAGCGTCCAGGCTGGTGGAACAAAGCTAAGACAACTACGAAACCGAAGGTATCAGCCTCCACAAGTTCTTCAGTGAGATCGCAGTCCTCTATAAGATTGTATGCCATCCCACATATCACTGCCACTGAACAGAATAAATTCAACCTAGAGATGGCTATGCATTACTATTGTACCTCTACAAGCTTCATGCGAATCAAGGATCCCCACCTTCTTCGAGCCATTCAATTGGCGCGGCCTGGTGCACGATTACCAACGCGGAAACATTGGCGGATGACAGCCCCGGAGGTTTGCTTGAAGTGTGCTACCAGCATGTAAAGGAAGATGTAAAGAAAATGCTATCTGTCAAGAGCCAATATATCTCTATCACAAGCGATGCATGGTCTAGCATTCTGAACGAGCCGATCATAAATTACATGGCCGTAAGCCCAACTCGCTCACTATTTCTTGAAGCTGTACATACTGAAGAGCAGTCACACAATGCGGACTGGCTCGCAGCAGATTTAGTTTGTGTAATGGACAGTCTTGGAAACAATGTCGTTGGCGCCATCACAAATAACACGTGGACCAACAAGAAAGTTTGGAGTGAATTAAAGAAAAAAGGCCCCAATCATTTCTTCCATGGGTGCGTATCTCATGGCTTAAATCTTCTTGTGAAGGACATTCTTGCAGCAACAAAGAAACAGCCTCCCAGTGGGGGCCCTGCTCAGTATCCAGTTGGATATCCCTTCGAGGACCTGCTTCTTTTCATTCAGGACTGTAAGGAAGTCGTTTCATTTTTTCATAATCGCCATGCTTCCAGGGCGAACCTGAAGAAAGCATTAAAGTCTGCAAAGTTAAACGTCCTTGTGAAACCTGCACCCACACGGTGGGGTACGACGCAGGGTTGTTTTAAATCCTTAAGGGCGGCAGATGGTGTTTTGAATGCTTTGGTGTCCCAGCGGGATTTTGTCTCCAAGGGTAACGCAAAGGAGCCACAGAAACGCGCCTCAGTCAAGGTAATTATCACTGATTCCAATTTCGTTATAAAGCTTGACGAATGCATTAAGATCCTCAAGCCCATTGACATGTTCATTGTAATTTTTCAAAGCGATGCTGTACCGTGCTCTGAAGTTTACAAGGCATTTCTCAACTTGGAAGACATGATGCGTAAGTTACCCAAAATGGACGAGAAGAAGACCTACCTAGCCGAGCCAGTGAAGAAGAGGTTTGAGTTCATGTATGAGGATGCTCACGGTCTTTATTACGATGGTCTTTATTAGATCATATTCAAACCTCTTTGAATGCTAGATTTGATTTGGATAGTGTGAATGCTTACAAATGTTTAAGTATTGTACCTGCCAAGATGATGTCACTGAACGAGAAAGGGATTGATTGGAAAGAGCAGTTTAAGATTGTTGCGACTTTCTATTGTGTAGATATGCCAAATCACCTCGGTTTGGATGCTGAGTTAAGACAGTGGTTTACCCACTGGGAAACACATCCTGGACCTCTCCCAGATAATGTTGTTTCAACTTTGAAATGTGTTCATTTTCAAAGATTTGAAAATATTAAAGTTATCCTTCGTATTTTAGGCTCACTGCCAATTACTTCTTGTAAGTGTGAGCAATCAATTTCTGCCCTGAGAAATCTCAAAACCTACCAGAGAAGCACTATGGTGGAAGATCGATTGAATGATTTGGCACTGATGGGAATTCACAGTGAAGTTGTTCCTGATGTCGAAAGAGTGATAGATAAGTTTGCTGAGGGGAATACTCGTTTAAAATTTTATTTTATTTATTTACATTTGCCACATCATACTAATATTACAATATACAAAAAAGACGAAATACATATACACAATACATGCAATGATGATGGCTGGGTAGCCACAACAGCGTTAGCCAATTACTGTGGTCCTACACAGATGGACGGTTTGACGGACTTATGGTAAAACAATGTGAAAGGACGGACAGATAATTTTTAAATTAATGTGATCTATATTTGAAATAAGTTAAAAGCAACATGTCGGTGCTGTTGAAATGTTTCGAGTAGTATTGCATTTCAAGCAGATGCTCTTCCATGTTTGTGGGTTTTCTGGGTCATAAGTATTCTGAAGCACTGTCACGTAGTAGTTGAAGAGATTTTTGTTGAACATGTTGAAAGTAGAAATGTTTGATGTTAGATGATCAGGTAGGATATTCCAGGTCCTCATTGAGCAAATGAAGAAGGATTTTTGATATGCAGAGGTTTTGCATCTCTTAACAGTGAATTTAAAACAATTATTATTATTATTATACCATCTTTTACCAGACCCGTCAGCAGACGCTGTTGTCAATGGGTGCCCTGGACATTTATATATATATATATATATATATATATATATATATATATATATATATATATATATATATATATATATATATAAAATTAAGAAAACAATAAATACAAATAACCTAATCTATACTAGCATTACTATATCAGTTCTATGGATAAAAACGTCTAAAACATTTTTTCTAATGCAGATTTAAAAAGTACCAACAATGTCATTTTCTTAATATCAGGTGGCAGACTATTAAAATCCTTAACTCCTAAATAAAAGCAACCTTTTTTGGCTGCTTCTGTTCTTACTTTCGGAAGTAAGTAATCCATTTTGTTTCTTCTCGTATTATATGCATGTGAAGATTTTACAAAATATTGATTAAAAATATCTGGTCCAATCATATTCATGCATTTAAAAACAAAAACAACTCGATGAATAAAGCAACGAGTTTGTAGGGTCTTCCAACCCAACTGGTGTATCAGTTCTTCATGTCCACCGTCTTTCATCAAAATTATCCTGGCAGCTCTTGTTTGAAGATATTCCAAAGCGTTTTATCTAGAAGGAGGTAGCTGATTCCATACAAAATCACAGTAGTCCAATTTTCGAAGTATATTATCTCTGCTCTTTGAGTTGTGAGATTACCTCGGATTCGTTTGAGAAGCCCTAATTGACTCGAGATCTTTTTGATTAATTTCGAAGTATGTTCTTGAAAAGTAAGAGATTGATCCAAGTAGATGCCCAGGTAATTAAAGAATGATTTACGTTCCAGAGCCTTTTCACCTAACATAATTTCTCGCATGTCATCATCAGAGTCACTTTCGTTTAACCTACCTGAAGTTCCAAAAACAACGTATTCAGTCTTCTTAGAATGGATATATAATTCATTTGCAGATGACCATTTGAGTAAATTAGCTAATTCAGTATTCAATAATGCGCTCAATTGAGATATAGAAGAAGCAGCAACATAAATAACTGTATCATCAGCATACATCAAAGTACTGGCATTTTGAAAGCAATCAGGTAAGTCGGTTATATACAACGAAAATAAGATCGGTCCCAGGATTGACCCCTGCGGTACACCTGATAAGCATACACTGGCTGAGCATCCGATAGTACACCATCAATATAAACAGACTGGCTACGTGCTGAGAGATCCACTCATCCAATCATGTTCTCTATCAACAATACCAAAAGATTTCAACTTTTCCAACAATTTGCAATGATCTATAGTGTCAAACGCTTTGCGATAGTCCACAAGGTCTGGGTTGAGAGGGTAGAAACCATGGTTTGCCTTGTAGTAAAATGTTATGTCGAGGTATTTGTGCCAGTATGTTATAGGGAGAAGATCTGTCATGACGAGACACTGGTGGTAGTCGATATCACAATTAAATGGCAGGTTCATGATATACTTGGTAGCGCGTTGTTGTATGCGCTCCAGTGTCGAAATGTGGTCGATCTGCTGTGG